GAATGGGTAAATAATTTCACATTAAATAATATTTATAATTTTTTTAGGACTATACATGCGCACTCTGATCTTGTCCTTAAAGCTGTCTACAAAAATGCTAATCTAAATGTCCTTGAACTCAGAACCCAACTAATTTGTAAGATAAGGAAAGCTCTAGGTCTAAAGTAGGAGTTCTACTTAACACTCGACTTGAGAGTACAACAGCATAGTAACTATTAGCGAGTAATTGTCACATATCATTGTCAATAAGGAACCAATATATTATTTAAGTTCGCTTAAGATAATGTAATCCTTGCATTGTTATGTGAGCAACGACTAAAATAGATGTAATGAGATAACATTCAATTTAACATTCAAATGCACACAAATAAACATATCAATCTCATGATGCGCAAATATCTCATAGTAGCTTACCAATATACACCGATGAGTATTCATTCCCTACTCATCACTAGCCTTGACTCATCTACGAGCCATCAGCACCTCCAATTTTAGCAGACAAAATCATAAACACATCTTTGCCACGCCTCGGCCATCCATCACGAGTATCCTTTACATCAATGATAAATACTCCACTGCAAAACTGCATGATGATGGCCATCTCATACTCATTTTCATCAAGGTTCACATTCATTTAATTTTCTTTCGTTTCTCGATCTTGAGCCTCAAATTCATAACATAACAAGCTACTCAAATCATATTAGGCTACAGAAGCCATATCTTTTCACATATGAATCTAGGACTTCTATGCCCTCTTGACCCTCTACAGACATGTCTTAGACAAGAAAGTATTCGTTTATTTCCAGAATCTTGTATACATACTGAGGAATTTAATAATAGTGTTGGTATATTGCTAACAACACCTGTAGAATTTCAATGGAGTTGGTAATTTACTTAGTATTGGGAACAAGCATGCTTGAGAGCACAGTACAATGGAGTGTTGTATGCTGCTTTCAAAAGTGGTGTTGTTAAATTACTTACGACACTAGTAAAATTTCACATGAGTTGATAATTTATTACTTCATTCAAATACTAGAAAATTTCTGATGGTGTTAAAAATTCACTTAGAAGAGTCGGTAATTTACCAATTTAGTGGGGAATTGATAAATTTCTTATAGTTTTGGTAATTTACTACTGGTTTACCCAACAAGCAAGTAACCAGCCATTTTATTACCTAACAATTCCAATTTTGCTGGCAATCCCACCCTAAAATTTCAAATGGTAAAACTTGAAACGCAGTCATGAATTCACTCAGAAGCGACTGTTGAAATCTGTTTTATGTTGTCAAAACTGGAGAACCTTTGTGGTCATTGCACATGATCATTAACTAGGGAGCGTTATGTTTATGCTAGACACAATGTTTTGCCCCTATTTCTTCATTTCTTCAATGTGGAAATTTTCATGGGAAATCAACAACAATTTCGTGAATGTGAGTGCTGATGTCTAATTGAATTCCCGACACTGAACGAAACTCATTGTCAGGGTACTGTCTCAAGAACATTAATCACTACGAATGAATTCTGGAGCAAGTCATCTTGAATCCTTGATGAATTTCTTCCATGACGAGATTAATCACTAAGTACACCCACTAAAATTTTAGAAGAAGTAGGACCGCAACAGACCAAAAAAAGAAGAAAGAAATTGCAGAACCAATCGATTATAGTAAGGTTTCATGCCTTCGAGGATAAATTTTGCTTTTAGCAGGACCTTGATAAGCTCGGAAGAAGAATCGAGTCCCCGTCGACTATACTGGATAAGATAAATGAAATCAGCTAATCCCCCTCAAACTATTCCACCTGAAAGGTTTGCACTAGTTCCTAAAGAGCGAAAATCGATCTTCCCCTAATCGGTGCAGAAGTGAAAAATTGCGAAGGAGTTGGTTAAGGCTTAAAGCTCATAAAGATACAGATGCAGATAGAAGAAATCAATTGAGTCGTCAGCTCAGGAGTGAGTTCACTGAAAGGCTGATTTCAAAGCATGTATATAAACGATAAGTCATGACTGAAACGAAAACTCAATTCAATTCCACATCGTTGTCCTAATGTATCACCAGTTGCATCAGAACTCGCAAGCAGACCCAAATTATGCAAAACAGAAACAAGGTAGAGAGAAATCACCGGAAAAGGAATGGGTGAAGATAAAGAGAATCAAAGTAGACAGCTGCCGGGTCTGAATGAAATGCAGAAAACCAAATAAAGATGCAGCGAAGGAGGAAGAACGCTTCTCGGCCTCAGTCAGCTCAGCTGCAACCCAAAATACAGAAAGGAAGACTTCATAGACAATCTATTCAACCCCTCGCGGGAACAGACGGACGGGCAGGAAGACGTGGGTGGGTCGCTGTCCCGGAGGAAGATCTCCGCCAGGTGGGGTCGCATCTCGTGCTTCCGCTCGGGGTCGCCGTCGCGTTCCCTCGACGGTCGGAGCCCGTCGCTGCTGGTACTGGGCGAGCTTTTTCGCTCGGGTCGTCGCTGACGATGGAGGAAGAAGAAAAGAAAGTGAGAGACGAGAGAGAGAGAGAGAGAGAGAGCGCGCAACTGGAGAAGAAGAGTAAAGAAAAAAGAGGAGAGAAGAAAGTCGAAATATCTGAAGAGTGGGTCTCACCTGCACACACGTGGCAATTAAACGATGCACTCAAGCGTACCGATGATTATAATCTTCAGATGGATGGAGAGGGCCTCGTCACTTTTTTCAAATCTCTGTACTCAGCGGATTCCAGAGTCTCCTCGAACCTTTTACATTCATATACTGATAAACGCTCTAGCTTCTTGGCGCTTGAAGGATGAGATAACTTTCGCAAAGACCCGCAGCGATATAAATGAAGCCTCTCCAATGATTCTAGCCTACCTGGAATTTCAACCACACGAGGACACCTTCCTAGAACAAGTTCCTTGAGCTTCTTGGAGTTGGTCAGGTCGGGCAACTTCTCTAGCAACGGAAGATCCACCGAAATCAAGCGACGCAAGTTCTTCAAATCTTCCGCGCCTTGAATCTCTTTTAGCTTCCAACAGTCTCGTATATCTATATACTTCACGCTGAATGAATCAGGCCATTTTTCGAGAGATTCACAGGAGCTTATCCAAAGCATCTCCAACGATTCTAGCTGACCTCGAACCTCAACCAGCATAGGACACTTTTTTATCGAAAGCACCGTGAGCTTCTTCAAGCCGGTCAGGTCAGGCAACTTCACCAGCGTTGGAAGATCACGAAGTCGAAGCTGTTTCAGGTTTTTCAAACGTTCGAGGCCTTGAATCTCTCTTAGCTGTTCACAACAACAGAAACACAATTCTGATAGCTTTTCCAAATATGAAAGATCTATCGACTTTTCCATTATCCTGCGCCCATACATACGGAGGCGTGACAAATTCTGGGGAAGCCTAGGTAGGCATTCGAGGTTATCTACTTCGAGCACCAGCACCCTGAGCTTAGAAAGGAGATTAAAATCTGAAGGTAGTTGGGAAGCACTCCCAGAACAAGACAACTCCAAGGACTCTAGCTTTCTTAACCTTGAGATCCACTGGAGGCTTGGAGCTCTAGCTGTAAGGAATAGATTGATCAAACTTTCAGGAAGCTTAGGAACTTCGGAAATTCTCGTATTTGATAATCTCAAGATCCTCAGAAATGACAGTCTTCCAATCTCATTTGGAAGTTCCTCCAAATAGACACAGTCGTCAGCATCTATCTCTTCAAGCTTCTCCAACATTCCAAGGGCGCTAGGTAGCTTTCTTAAGCTGGTGCGAGACATCCTTAGTACTCTCAAATTCTTCATTTCTCCTATTGAATTGGGTAATTCTCGAATTCTTGATCGAGAAATATTCAACTCAACAAGAGATCCAAAATTTCCAAATGGAAGTTCAGTAATTTGTGTATATTCCAACCTAAGACTTAATAGCGATGTTGAGCAACCGGCAAAATTGCATACACTCAGTGATCCACATTCAACTGCACTGAGAGTTCCCAATTTCTTCATTCCTTTCCATTCGGGAATTTTGGTAATAGATGTCCCATCAACAATTAGTTCTGTTAAGGCTTCCAGTTCCCTCATCTCATCCGGCAATGTTCGCAGATTACAACATCTTTCCAAGTTTAATAACACTAAATGCTTTAACTTACCAACAGACTTATCAACTTGAACCAGTCTCCAGCACCATTGAAGAATAAGTTGCTCTAAATTTTCAAGAGCAGAAAAGTCAGGAGTTCTACGCAAGTTTCTGCATTCAGTCAAATTTAGAACCTTCAAATTCTTTGCCATCTGTAATGAAGAGAAGAGGTTAATTTTGGATCATTTTGAGATACAGGACAACAAAGTTAATATAGCAAATTCATGTTGAAATAATACCATACCTTGAGTTGGTTCCATCCCTCCCAATCATTTGTAATTTTACTCTGTGATAGATCAAGAATCACTAGCTTCATAAGGGAAAATGCGGTCAATCGGAAAAAGATGGGAAACTCGTGCCATGAGAGAAATCTCAACTCCGGAAGGATGAGCAGATTTTTCTGGAAACACTTGGTTGAAGGAAAATGCTGAACAAAGTTATGCCATGAGAGCCATCTCGACTTTGGAAGGATGCATAGATTCTTCCGGAACCAGTTAGTTAAAGAAAAATGGTGGACGTTGTTCGTTTCCAAGTCTCTACAATCCACTTGAAGAAACCTTAAATTTGATAGGCTTTCAAGTTCTTCCTTCTTAAAGAAGCGTTGAGATTGATGATCAAACTTGAGATGTAGTGCTTCAACGTTTTTTGTTCCCTGCCAAAGCAAACAAAGGAAACAGAAGCTAATAATCACATTATTGCCTATTGAAGGGATTCAAGTTGAACATACTTCAGGAATGTACATTTTATTTATACTTTCAAATTGATTTACAATATGATTGATAGATGAGCATGTCATCAGAGTAAGCAGAGAAGTAATGACTCAAGTTCAGATAGAAGCAAATAGGCAAAGTCCACATGTATTACTTGTCCCCTTGAATAGGAATAACATTGCACACACTTTACCTTTGATATGAGAACATCAATTGCTTCATCATGATCCCACACCCGACTTTGCTTCTCTGGTTTAAAATTACCATTCTGACGAACGAAATGTTGCCCAAGGTCTCTTAGCAGATCATGCATCCACAATTCATCAAGTTCTGTAATCTTTATTAACGACATCTGTTGGAGGACATCAAGATAATAGTCAGGGAAAAACCCACAGCTTTTCCACATGTGCCTTACAATTCTCCAATCAAACCCAACGAAGAAGCAACAAACATCAAGAAATATTTCCTTCGCATGTGGTTGTAATGCCTCGATACTAATGTTCAACTTTTCTTCAACATTTTCATCGGGAATAGTTTCCAGCTTCTCTAATGTGGTCTCCCAAAATTTTCTGTCTTTTCCAGCTAAAAATGAACCTATGATCTCAAGAGCCAAAGGAAGATGACCGCAGATTTTTACCGCTTTTTTTGAGAGGTAGAAGTATTCTGCTGGAGAATGATCTCTTCTAAAGGCATGTCTGCTGAAAAGTTGAAGTGAATGATCAAAATCCATTTCAGTAAGTTCGTGCTTCAAATCAACATCCTTGAGAACTACCTTGTTTCTTGTGGTAATAATAACCTTACTTCCTCTGCTGTACCAGCATTTGCCCATCCCCACAAGAGCATCCAGCTGAGTCTTTTGGACGACATCATCAAGTAGAAGTATGACCTTCCTAGAGGATAACCTCTTCCTGATCTCAGTAATCCCTTCTGATATATTATGGATGGGCAAACATGTCTCTTTTAGGATACCAGAGATGAGTTGATTCTGCAAAATCTCAATCTTTGTGTCTTTGAAGTTAGACAGGAAGCAACAGTTAGTGGAATTGGCCGACAGTTTATTATAGATGATTGTGGCAAGAGTTGTCTTTCCGACACCGCCCATACCATAAATACCAACGATCTTTGTTTCAGTGGTCTGTTCACCTATCACTTCCATGATTTTGTCCACGTGATCATCCATTTCAACCAAGTAATCAGATACTGCCAAGTAGTTCTTTTTCAACTCGATCAACAGCGTCCGAACAACTTCTTCTGTGAACTCACCTTTGCCTCTGATACTGTTGAAGGCAAAAGGACCAAACTGTTAAATTGAGATGAACAGAATAATATCTAAGCTACAAACAATTCATGAACAACAATAAATTCAAGTACCTATCTTTGAGTTCCCATCCTCTTAACGCTCCAACCTTGCTGAGAGCCGCCTTCCAGTTCTGAATAGTCTCATCAGTGTACCGCCGCTTATTTATGTGTAAATTAATGGCCTCACCGTAACTTGCAGTTTGGTAACGAACCTCGGACGGTGCAATGTCATAGAAAATTGGCATGATCTTTTGTCCCCACTTTTCCTTGCACTCCACCATATGGACCAACTCCATGAGGCACCATGGACTGGCAGCATATCCTTTAGATAAGATAGGAATTGAGATTTCTGACTGCTTAATCGCATGGACAAGCTCCGGGCCAATCTCTTCCCCAATGGGAAGCTCTTCATTATCTCTATATGCCCGTATTCCGGCACGAATGAGGCTGTTGTAAAGGTAATCAGCGATGTCGCGGCGAGTGTCCGGTCCTCTGAAGCTCAAGAATACTTCATAATTAGATTCTGTTGGCTTCTCCATTTCCTGAATTTTCAGAGGACTTGCAATGGCCTGATATCCCACCTGAAAAACCTTTACTATGAAAGTGGAGTGATGACTATCATGATTTCTCTCAGAAACTCTTCTGTTTCAGGTCATTCTAGAAAGAAACGAAGATGGCAAATGCACGAGCTCCTTCTGGGGCATTGCACTAGACTCAAAACATGTCCGGTTGTTTTAGTAACAATATGGTAGAGAAGTGGACCCATCTCAATTCTGAAGGAACAAATTTCTAAAGTAATGTGGAATTATGGGTTTTAATTCACACCCGAAATAGATTCGAGAGAATAATATTTCGAGAAGATAACTGTCAAACTATTTTTGTGTTAAACTCTTATTTTAGGTGATAAAATTTCTCTTGAAAGGTGACATTGAATGTCCTCTGCACATAAGTGCCTGCTGTTGCTTGTAGGTTGACTAATTATCTTATTGCCTGATAAGAAATTATGATGGAACCTTCCTCTTTTAGTTGTACCAAATTAGATTTGACAAAGACATTCCACAACACTCGATTAGTTGCTCCCTTGACCTTAACGGATGCTGGCGAAGAATCACACTCCCCAATGACTATCTCGTTAGAAAAATGAAATCAAGAAATCAATCTGAAGCTAACTCAACCCTCATCATTGGACTATTTTCTTAAAGCATAAACCAATCCCTAATCACAGCCATCTCTTAGGTTATTAACAAACAGATAAAGGGTCAACGGGCGAGCATTAGTCAGGTATGAAGCTATCATTCACATCAGCATATCAGAAAAAGAGGAGTGGATTACTAATCAATTATGGAGTTAATAAAATTTCAACAGAAAAAGAAGGCATGAATGCTATAACTGTTTTTCCAGTAAATAAGTTGGAACACTCAGGAGTGTAGGGATGAGAGCTGCATTTTACAAAAGCTGAGAGTTCCGGTTCACCACCGAGTACAACATTATTGTCTATTCAGTCTGTATCTACTGTTAAATTGAGAGTTGAGGTTATCAATTTTCTGTATAAGATTGTTCTTACTGCTAATTTACCAGACAATAATGTGCTAATTTGCCTCTACTGTTAAACAAATGAAATCAACCGATTCCACTCAAACAAAGTCAGCTTTTAGCGCTAGGCCCTGTTCCTAAAGAGCATAAGTTCGATCCCTATTTGCAGAAATCTCTGAGATTTATCAACCAGCTGATGCATCTGAGTGGGATTGTGTTTCACGATCTGAGGCCTGACTGGTGCGTAGATGGAAGCAGATGAGCAGGGTTTAGCGTGTGACTAGAGATAGGCCAAAACTATTAGTGTTAGATACAAATTGCGGAGTGATCGATCATGGAGTCAACTATGGAAAGAACTGATACTGATCTGAGAGTCCCTCTATTGTTTCCATCAAATTAATGAAAAAAACCAATAGATGTGAGGAAATTACCGGAGATGGAGGAGTGAAGATGAAGAGTCCGGATCAAACGCTGAGAAGCAGATGAAGATCATCCCCAGAATGAAACGTTCTTGGCTTGGAGCTCAGCTGAAGAAAGACTTTGCCCTGGATAGTCTCTGCTCGCCCTCTATTGTTTTCTTTTTTTACTTTTGAGGTATTCGAGTTAAGTTAAGGTTGAAATTTCCTCGAAGTCCAAAGATTCCTTGGCACAAGTTCAAGAAGACGAGAGATATTAATGTAACTCGTTAGTTTAGAAACCAGTTGATTATAGTAATTGACAATCTTGTAATGAGGATGAAACCCTTCTTTTGTAGGTGTGGCCCCAGGCCCGTTTAATTATTACATAAACTAAACCTACAAATATAGAACTCATGCATATTAATTGTTTGAGATGCATTATGTTAGGACTTATTCACGGTAAATATATAGGACAACAGTTAGGCTTCAGCCTCCAAAAGTTGCATTCGGCTAGAAAGGTGTAAAGCTCCAAAAAAGTTTGGGTTAATACAACGAAAAATTTCAAACTGATACATTTGTAACAAATTTATTCCAACCCCAAATTAATATACCAGTGACAAATTTACTCTCTGTTAGTTTCCGTTAAATTTTACTGTTAAATTGTTGAGTTAGATTGACTGGTTTGGGTTCTACCCTTCCGTTGGCCACATGTTACCAGTTTGTGGTTTTTCGTGGTATTAATATAAAGGTAGAGTAATCGGTGTACTAAAGTTTTGAGTAAACTGAATTGATTCAAAGTTTTTCTTGTCTCTCTCATGTGTTAAAGTTCTCCAACTATGCTATTATCTCATCTCTCCATTTCTATTCTTAATTCCGTCTTCTTGAATCACCTTGTACCAACTCAGAAGAGACTAACGTCCTGCTACAACTAAATCTCATCAGCCAAATGAAATCAGATAACTCCACTTTAACTAATTTAAGGGTTATCTTGAGCAATCTTCTCCACTGCGTGAATTCAATCATTAGTGAAAGAACTAATTGATCTTAACAGATCCAGTGCACACAAAATAGGACCAACAAGAATTTACCAGAGAGGAACTGGTGAAGATCAAACACCAAATCTGGTTGCGTTGAGTCGCAACAAAACCAAGAGAGCAAGATAAGAAACAATGGACAAAACCATTCTTGAGCATCGCCTGCATATATAATCCCATTTGACAGAAGGAGAAGGCAAAGTGAATTCCTTTGGTTTGTCGACACAAGAAAAGCAATGTAGCAAATTCTTATCTCGCTTTAGAGAATTGAGAAAAGGATTATTCTCCATCTTAATCTTGTCTTTGGTACAAGATAAGAAATTCACACTTCTTTCTTGTATTGACAGAAACAGTTTTTTTCCGTATCATCCATGAAGACTACTGTTCCTATCGGATCCAAAAATTATGAACAAAAAGGAGGAGGGTGCAGGGGACGGGGGGGAAATTATGTCTGATTACTTTCTTTTGTTCAGCAAAGAAGGCTCATTTACCTAAAATACTTTCATTTTAGCGGGCGTAGAATAGTGGCTGAAAAGTTCTTTATTGTGCTAATCCCTTCTATAGTCAGGGTTCCCTAGTTTTGATATGCTTCATTTCCAAAACCCAAAAAAAAAAAAAAATCATTTTGTAAAGTTTTATTAAACCTTTACCTTTGCATGAAGGTTCGTGGAGAAATATACGTCTTCAATACTCGTGCCTAAGAGTCCATCCTTATTCTGAGTTTTATTCATTTTAGCCCCAGTTTTCTTTTCTGCAGATCTTCTTATTCAACCAAAGCTGTCTGCATTACTCCAAATTGCAACTCGGCTTCAAGTTTTGCAATTCTAAGCCCAGCTGCACATGTACTTTTTTGCTCGTACTAACGGATAGATGCAAATTTAGTTAACAAAAGGCATCTTTCCAAACTCATCTTCTTGTTACAAACACCGTCACCACTCACTGACACTCCATTCATGTCACAGGATTATATCCTCTGCATTTTCTTCTTTTACGTGAAAAAGACAACCAGCCAAACTCTCGACTGCTCTGAATGGTAGGCTCTGCATGTCTCACCTGTTTTGGTCAATAATACACTGGCTTCACAGTTGCTACCTCTCTTCCATGCATGGGCCAATATAATCACACTGACCCGGCAACTCCAAATAGGATATCGCTTTAAGATCTTTCTGAATACCGTCTCTCATAGAGAATCAACTTTTCTCAATCACTGTCTGAACCTTTAAGCCTCCATTCACTTGCCTCCCATCCAAAGGGTATAATTAATGACCCCAGGTTAATGTTTATACCCATCTAATAGATTCTCCCATCCCCAAGAAGCCTTAAACCCAGCTCACAGCTTGCATAATCTCACTCCTCAGAATATTCAAACACTTCCTAGGAATTTCTTTCAACACTTTTGACATCATCCACACAAAGTTGCATCTCTTTTTGAGGGAACATTTTGACTTCGAGGTCGTTAGTTTTAGATAACCAGACCCCTTAAACTTCTGTTCTTTGCATCCTCTCCAACCAAATTAATCTAAGAATATCTAATTCTAAACCTTTATTTTCCCCTTTCTATGTACTCTGATGAACAGCAAGGCATACTAATATTTGAACAGCGAGACTACCATAATGATAATGATAGTGTTTTCACATGGACAACCATGTTACATAAGAAATGAAGGAACTGTGGCGAGCAGAGTAGCCATCACATTATAAGTAATAGAAACCAATCTTCATTGACAATTAGACAACCAGTTGTCCTTAAATTTGAACTTGGCCATGAAAACAAGGGAAAGGATCATTATGTGAATTAAATTGATTCTCTCTTTCTAAAAGTGCCAGTTTCGACCATGGACAGACTGGAGAATTAAGAAGAAGAACATGAGAGAGAGAGAGAGAGAGAGAGAGAGAGAGAGAGAGATTTCAAAACCGAATGATACATCATGAAATTTAAACCAGTAATCATTACATCTTTATTAATCAATATGCTAGTTCAACTCAACCATAGAAAACCGTTTCTCTTTACCTGCCAACTCCAACTAGTTTTGATTCCTTGGCTTGACATATTTACTTGTCTGGTTCAGACTTAAGTCGCGTCCTCAAAGTCCTCCAATCATCAGATCCCAGCAAATCTTTTAGCTTCTCGCACTTAATTATCCCCAAATATTCGAGCCTTTCTAAGCTTGATGGAACAGGTAACTTTTCCAGATATCTGCAGGACTCAATACGAAGTATCTTCAAAGATTGTAGTCTGCCTTCAATCTCAACCAGTTTAGGACAATTACGCAGTTCAAGTTTCATGAGCTTTTTTAAGGTAGTGAGGTCAGGCAATTTCTCCAGTGATGGAACTGCAACCAGCTTCAATGATCTCAGGTTCTCCAAGCCTTCGAGACCTTGAATCCCTTGTATTTCACAACTGACAACTTCCAAATCTGCTAGGGCCCTCGAGTTTGAAAGGTTTATTGATGTCTTCATTTCCCAACAACCTTTGATAACTAAGCGCGACAAACTTGCGGGAACCCACTGGAGGGATTTGAGGTTCCGGCACCGGAGGTCAAGTTCCTTGAGTTGAGAAAGGAGAATGAGGTCTGAAGATAGGGTGGTCACGTAAGGAGATTCCAGAAATATGGACTCTAGCTTGTGTAAAGTTCCAATCCTCCAACGACTGGAAGCTCTCTCAAGTTCCAAAGGGTCCATTATAGAACTCCACAAAAGCAAACGCAAATCTCTTAAGTTCAACAGGTTTGAGAGATCTGGCAATGTCTTCATTGACCAAGAGCCAAAGTGCAGACTGGTCAGACTTTCAGGAAGCTTAGGGAATCCGGAAACATTAGTGTATGTCAGTCTCAAGACCCTTAGAAACTTTAATCTCCCGATACTGCTTGGAATTTCCCCTTCCAAATATCCACAGCAGTCAGCATCTAACTCTTCAAGCTTATCCAACAGTCCAATGGCACTGGGTAGTTCTCTTAAGAGACTACAACGTATTCTCAATACTTTCAAATTCTTCATGTTCCCTAATGAAGAAGGTAGCATTTGAATAGGTGAGTGGGACAGATCCAACTCGACTAGTGGTCGCAAGTTCCCAATGGAACTACAATTATTCAAATATTTACAATTACGAGCACTGAGAATTTCTAGTTTCTTCATTCCTTTCCATTTGGGAATTTCTTTTATTGATGTGCCATCCACAAGAATTTCTGTTAAAGCTTCTAGTTTCCCAAGCTCATCAGGCAACATGCTGAGTTTAACGCAGGAATTCAAGTTTAAGAAAACTAACTGCTTTAGTTTACCGATAGATCCATCAATATGGACCAATTTCTGACATCCTTCAAGAACTAGTCTCTCTAAATATACAAGAGATGAGAAATTGGGCGTTCCTTTTAAGTTTTTGCATCCAGTCAGATTGAGAACCTTTAAATTCTTTGCCACCTGTAAGGGAGAACATACGCAATATTTCAATCCCATTACCGAAGTTAAAAAAGACCATAGAAATTATTTTGAAACGCCTCCTAGGCTCCTACCTTGATGTGGCTCCATCCACTCCATTTTTCTGTAATTTTACTCCTTGATAGATCAAGAATCACTAGCTTTGTCAGGGAAAGAGTGGTCAGCTCAAAATTTGCAGGAAAGTTATGCCATGAAAGCCATCTCAACATCGGAAGGATGCATGGACTATTACGGGAAAAACTGGCTGGAAGAACATTCCAGCTGCAATCACACCGAAAAGAACTAAATTGAGCAAAACAATGTAGGATCGTGCCTGTCTCATCAAAGTTTGCGCCGTCCAATTGCAGGAACCTTAGGTTTGACAGACTTGCAAATGCTTCATATGTAATGCGGTATTTACAACCATGCTCAAACTTGAGACAAATTGCTTCAACATTTTCTACTCCCTGGCAATACAAAAAGGGAAATAGCAGTTAAAAAACACATAGTTCCTGATTGAAAAATTATATTCATTCGAGGTGCTGTGAGTGGAAATATGTATATTACTGTAGTGCTGTGAGTGGAAAAGAAATAATATGTAAGAAGTTCTTTTAATCGACAAGTAATTAGATAGAAATCTCTTGAGAATAATGACTTTGTATTCTCACCTTCGTTCTCATGAGAACATCGGACGCTGCCTCATGATTCCATACTCTGCTTTGGTTCTCTAATTTCATAGCAGACTCTTGATGAATGATTTCACGTCCAAGGTCTCTTAGCTGATCATGCATCCAGATACAGTTGTCTTCTCTAATTTTTATTAAAGACATCTGTTGGAGGACTTCAATGGCTTCTTCAGGAAAAAGCTCGCAACTTTCCCACATATGGATCGCAGTTCTTTTATCGCAACCTATGAAGAAACAGGCAATATCAAGGAATATGTTCTTTTGTCTATCATCTAATGCCTCAAAACTGATCTTCAACTTCTGTTTTACATCCTCATGAAGAACTCTTTCCAGCTTCTTTAATGTGATATCCCATAGTGCTCTGCTTTTTCCAGATAAAAGTGAACCTATAACCTCAAGAGTCAAAGGTAGACCGCCACTAATCTTTACGGCCTTTACGGAGTTAGGGAGGTACTCCTCCAAAGGATAATCTCTTCTAAATGCATGTCTGCTGAAAAGTTGCAGAGAATGGTCAAAATCCATGCAGGGGAGTTCATAAGTCCAGTCAACTTGGGGCACAGTAAGAACATCCGTGTTTCTAGCTGTAATGATAAGCTTGCTTCCTTTGCCAAACAATATGTGCTTCCCCAGGAGAGCATCCAGTTGAATCCTTTTGTCGACATCATCCAGTAGAAGGAGAACTCTTTTAGAGGATAACCTCTGCTTAATCATCGCAATCCCTTCATCCATATTATCGATGTCTAGCCCTTTCTTTCTAAGGAGCCTAGAGATGAGCTGATTCTGCAAATACTCAATACCCTTCTGCTGTGAAGTTTCTCGGATGTTGGAAAGGAAGCAACAATCTTCAAAATGATGGGAGAGTTGGTTGTAGACGATTTTGGCACACGTCGTCTTCCCAACACCACCCATGCCGTGGATTCCGACAATCGTAGTTTCATTGGTGTCAGCGCCTACCATTCTCATTATTTCACTCACATGATCGTCCATTTCAACCAAGCAATCAGATACTTCTAAGTAGGCCTTTCTCAGCTCAATCAAAACCTTGTTGACAACTTCTTTTGCAAACTCACCTTTACCTCTGATATCATTAAAGGCAAAAGAACCTAGACGTTAGATTGAGTTAAAAAAAACAAAACAAAACAAAACCAAAAAAAAAAAACAAAAAACAAGAAAAAGAAAATCATGTCTGGAGCAAAACAGATAATACGCCATGATGAAGAACAAGACCTGTTCGGATTGCTTTGGAAATCCCATCCCTTTAATGCTCCAACCTCATTGAGGGCAGCTTTCCAACCATGGAGGGTGTTTTCATCAAACTGCTCCTTCCTCACGTGCGAAGCAAAGGCTTCCCCGTAATCCCCAGTTTGGTTTCGAACCTCAGATGGCCTGACGTCGAAGAAAATGGGCATGATCTTCTGCCCTGTAGCTCTCTTGCACTCCGCCATCTGTACCAACTCCATAAGACACCACTTGCTGTCGGCATAACCTTTGGAGAAGATGGGCATCGAGATTTTCGACTGCTCAATTGCTTGGAGAAGCATTGGACCGATCTCTTCCCCGGTACGAAGCTCTTCATCGTCTCTGTATGCTCGAATTCCAGCATCAATGAGACCGGTATACAGGATATCAGCAATGTCCGAGCGCGTATCTGGTCCTCTAAAGCTCAAGAACACTTCGTAACATGTCGACATGACTTCACAGCTTCCTGCGTTTGAGATGATATATCAGTACGCCAGCAGCAGCAGAATCGCCATCAGCATCCGTGATCCCGTTGTCTGTCTTCACCTCTCCACTGGATTGCAGAAGATGGAAACTCTGGAAGCTACTACCAACCTCGGTACACCCTCTAAGGTAAGAAAACAATGCTGTGATGACTTCTGTTCGGGTCAATGACTACTGTCACTCTCTCGGTTAATGACTCTAAAAAGGAAGCTTCCTCTTCACTTCATTGGAGGTATACACGGCTCTTTTTTTCTTTTGTCCCAACGCGTACACGATCAAGACTCGGCCTTTGCTGTGTAGCCATGAAGGAGGGTGGAACACGGAACATGCCAAAAAAAATAGACGGCTTTTACTGCATCACCGATGATCAAGCAAAAACATTTACTTAGATGGTTGGTTGTTCTTCATTCACAAAAGCTACTTGTCCCTGATTTGTTGATGAGTTCGTTAAAACTCTGAAAATTACTCATCACTTAGGGGTTACTCATTACAAACATTGATACATTAATTAAATGTTCTTATACTAATAGATAGGGCTTTGACCGAAGATCAAGCCCGGCCCGAAGATTTTAAGCAACAAATTCTGAGCGTCCAACCTGGGCTCGGCTCGAGACGATATGAAATGGCCCGTCCAGAAGTAATTTGGTGCAAACCGGGCTGATCGGGAGCCTGACTCGCTTTTCAACTTCTCTTCCCATGAAAACAAAGTTGAATTTGCCGTCTAATTCCAAATAATATTCAGTTCTCAGCACGACCCCCGCACTCCTCAACCTGAAGCTCAATCTTTCAACTTCTCAAAATTGTTCCTGATCATACATATTGGCTTCTTGAAGGTTGGGTAGCTTTTTCCGAGCCAGTCAATGGGGTGCATCTCCAATTGTTCTACTCTGCCTCGAATCTCAACCGGTTTAGGGCAACTCCGCGGGAGAAGTAGAGGACCACTTCTCCGGTGATGGCAAACCTGCAAGCATTAACAATAGTCGACAATCTCCCGCATTGAAATTGCTTATTTTTCTATTTCGATTCAAGAAGTTCTATCAGCTCAATTAAATTGAGATAATGCTTGTATTTTGCCTGATATAGAATTGAGGGCAATGTTGCTGCCATGTCGAAATATACTATGTGGAATACATGTTCTTAGATACAACCAATTGAGACAAACTAAATTTAAGGCGAACGATTAAAAAACAGAGCTAGTGCAAAGTTTAGTTATTGAAGGTCCCGTCATTTTTATCTGTCTAAAGTTTGTGTTCTTCGGACTTTCTAGTTTCTTCCTGCGGTCTGGAAATCCGCGATCAATTCTTATACTCTTTCACTCTCTCTCAACCGCTACAAGAATACGAACTGCAAAGAGAGAAGAAGACTTACATCCGAAATATTGAGAGTCTATACATGAGACAATGGTAGGAACAGAAGATCCACGACAGAAAGAAATCTTATAATGAGAGAAGAAATGTTTGTATCATATGGATTATTACGAGTAGAAGGAGCTTGCAATATTTAGAGCTTTTGAGATGCCGCCCAACCACTGAAATAATGTACGCAACTAACGCTTACATTCTTCTGTCCACCGTACTCAAAAGTCCAGGAGAGCAAAAAAAATCTAAAGAAAAATACTCAGACAAGTCGGATTCCGCAAGATCAGACTTCGTGTCTTCTTTCGAAGTTCTCCACTGATCATCAGAAACCAGAGAATCTTCTAGCTTCTCGCCCTTTGTGTATATACAAAGATTTTAGCTTCTTGAAGCTTGATGGATCAGGGAACTTTCCCATTGATTTACAGGAACCGATCCCAAGTGTCTCCAACGATTCTAGTCTGCCTTGGACTCCACCAATCTAGGACAGTACCGCAGGCAAAGTTTCTGGAGCTTCTTCAAGTTGGTCAGGTCAGGCAACTTGTTCAAAGATGGAACTTCTTCAAGCTTTAATGCTCTCAGGTTCTCCAAACCTTGGAAGCCTCGGAACTCTCTCACTTTAGGGCAATGAGCAACCTCCAAATCTGACAGCGCTTTCGAAATTGAAAGGTCTATTGATGTTTTTATCTCCTAGCATGATTTGATACATAGAATAGTCAAAGCTAATTGAATACAATTTGAATCTTGAATGGGTAAATAATTTCACATTAAATAATATTTATAATTTTTTTAGGACTATACATGCGCACTCTGATCTTGTCCTTAAAGCTATCTACAAAAATGCTAATCTAAATGTCATTGAACTCAGAACCCAACTAATTTGTAAGATAAGGAAAGCTCTAGGTCTAAAGTAGGAGTTCTACTTAACACTCGACTCGAGAGTACAACAGCATAGTAACTATTAGCAAGTAGTTGTCACATATCATTGTCAATAAGGAACCGATATATTATTTAAGTTCGCTTAAGATAATGTAATCCTTGCATTGTTATGTGAGCAACGAATAAAATAGATGTAATGACATAACATTCAAATGCACACAAATAAACATATCAATCTCATGATGCTCAAATATCTCATAGTAGCTTACCAATATACACCGATGAGTATTCATTCCCTACTCATCACTAGCCTTGACTCATCTACGAGCCATCAGCACCTCCAATTTTAGCGGACAAAATCATAAACACATCTTTGCCACGCCTCGACCATCCATCACGAGTTTCCTTTACATCAATGATAAATACTCCACTGCAAAACTGCATGATGATGGCCATCTCATACTCATTTTCATCAAGGTTCACATTCATTTAATTTTCTTTCGTTTCTCGATCTTGAGCCTCAAATTCATAACATAACAAGCTACTCAAATCATATTAGGCTACAAAAGCCATATCTTTTCATATATGAATCTAGGACTTCTATGCCCTCTTGACCCTCTACAGACATGTCTTAGACAAGAAAGTATTCGTTTATTTCCAGAATCTTGTATACATACTGAGGAATTTAATAATAGTGTTGGTATATTGCTAACAACACCTGTAGAATTTCAATGGAGTTGGTAATTTACTTAGTATTGGGAACAAGCATGCTTGAGAGCACAGTACAATGGAGTGTTGTATGCTGCTTTCAAAAGTAGTGTTGTTAAATTACTTACGACACTAGTAAAATTTCAAATGAGTTGATAATTTATTACTTCATTCAAATACTAGAAAATTTCTGATGGTGTTAAAAATTCACTTAGAAGAGTTGGTAATTTACCAATTTAGTGGGAATTGGTAAATTTCTTATAGTTTTGGTAATTTACTACCGCTTGACCTAACAACCAAGTGACCAGTCCTTTTTTTTTTCACCCAACAATTCCAATTTTGCCGGCAATCCCACCCAAAAATTTCAAATGGTGAAACTTGAAACGCAGTCATGAATTCACTCAGAAGCGACTGTAGAAATCTGTTTTAAGTTATCAAAACTAAAGAACCTTTGTGACCATTGCACATGATCATTAAACAGGGAGCGTTATGTTTATGCTAGACACAATGTTTTGTGCCTACTTCATTTCTTCAATGTGGAAATTTTCATGGGAAACCAACAACAATTTCGTGAATGTGGTTGCTGATGTCTAATTAATTTCGTAACACTGAATGAAACTCATTCTCAGAGTACTGCCTCAAGAACATTAATCTCTACGAATGAATTCTGGAGCAAGTCATCTCGAATCCTTGATGAATTACTTCCCTAACGAGATTAATCACTAAGTACACCCGCTAAAATTTTAGAAGTAGGACCACAGCAGACCAAAAAAAAAAGAAGGAAGAAATTGCAGAACCAAATGATCATAGTAAGGTTTCATGCCTTCGATGACAAATTTTGCTTTTAGCAGGACCTTGATAAGCTCAGAAGAAGAATCGAGTCCGGTCGACTATATTGCATAAGATAAATGAAATCAGCTAATCCCCCTCAAACTATTCCACCTGAAAGGTTTGCACTAGTTCCTAAAGAGCGAAAATCGATCTTCCCCAAATTGGTGCAGAAGTGAAAAATTGCGTAGGAGTTGGTTAAGGCTTCAAGCTAACAAGATTAGATGAAAATGGAAGAAATCAATTGAGTCGTCAGCTCAGAAGTGAGTTCACTGAAAGGCTGCTTTCAAAGCATGTATATAAACGATAAGTCGTGACTGAAACGAAAACTCAATTCAATTCCAAATCTTTGTCCTAATGCATCACTAGTTGCATCAGAATTCGCAAGCAGACCCAAATTATTCAAAACAGAAACAAGGTAGAGAGAAATCACCAGAAAAGGAATGGGTGAAGATGAAGAGAATCAAAGTAGACAGCCAACGGGTCTGAATGAAATGCAGAAAACCAAATAAAGATGCAGCGAAGAAGGAAGAACGCTTCTCGGCCTCAGTCAGCTCAGCCGCAACTCAAAATGCAGAAGGGAAGACTTCTTGGACAGTCTATTCAACCCCTCGCGGGAACAGATGGACGGGCAGGAAGACGTGGGTGGGTCGCTGCCCCGGAGGACGATCTCCGCCTGGTGGGGTCGCATCTCGTGCTTCCGCTTGGGGCCGCCGTCGCGTTCCCTCGACGGTCGGAGCCTGTCGCTGCTGGTTCTCGGCAAGCTTTTTCGCTCGGGTCGTCGCTGACGATGTAGGAAGAAGAAGAAAGGAAAGTGAGAGACGAGAGAGGGAGAGAGAGAGAGAGCGCAACTGGAGAAGAAGAGTAAAGAAAAAAGAGGAGAGAAGAAAGTCGAAATATCTGAAGAGTGGGTCTCACCTGCACACACGTGGCAATTAAATGATGCACTCGATCAAATTCTACGAGCGCACTTTTTTCAAATCTCTGTACTCATCGGATTCCAGAGTCTCCTCGAACCTTTTACATTCATTTACTGATAAGATCTTTAGCTTCTTGGCGCTTGAAGGATGAGATAACTTTCGCAAAGACCCGCAGCGATATAAATGAAGCCTCTCCAATGATTCTAGCCTACCTGGAATTTCAACCAGACGAGGACAACGTTCTAGAACAAGTAGCTTGAGCTTCTTGGAGTTGGTCAGGTCGGGCAACTTCTCTAGCAACGGAAGATCCACCACCTTCAATTCACGCAGGTTCTTCAAATCTTCCGTGCCTTGAATCTCTTTTAGCTTCCAACAGCCTTGTATATCTATAGACTCCACCCCGAATGAATCAGGACATTTTTTGAGAGATCCACAGGACATTATAATAAGCATCTCCAACGATTCTACCTGACCTCGAACCTCAACCAGCACAGGACAGTTTTTTATCCAAAGCACCATGAGATTCTTCAAGTCGGTCAGGTCAGGCAACTTCACCAGCGATGGAAGATCCTGAAGTCGAAGCTGTTTCAGGTTTTTCAAACGTTCGAGGCCTTGAATCTCTGTTAGCTGTTCCCAATCACATAAACACAATTCTGATAACTTTTCCAGATATGAAAGATCTATTGACTTTTCCATTATCCCGCGCCCATAAATACAGAGGTGTGACAAATTCTGG